TTTTATTAATAGTTGATTTTCTTCGCTTAATAAGCTCGAGAAACGTTTTTTAGTTTTCGGTTTGGTGGCTGTTTTATTCGTTATGATATTAAAATGAGCGGGCAACACCTTTCACTTGTTTTACTGGCAGAAAATCGTGCATTTATTTCAAGTCGTGACTAATAATGAACCAATCGCAATTACTATACACAGCACCTATATAACAATACAACTATAGTTATAAATAGACATAATTCGAAAGTTGATTTGCCGATTTGAATGGTTTGCAGGATTCCATATCTAAATCAAACGACTTTCATGCACATCATTAGTCTCCTAGAATTTAGTTCAGAGAATACTGTATTTTGATACATCCTGTATTTGTTCATTTTTGGGAACACTCCGTATAATGTATGTTTGTACGTAAAGAATGTTTCACAAGGTGAGATCATCAGCTACAATTGTATCTTTTACACGTAGAATCTTATCAATTTCTTACATTAAAGTTGTAGCAAACAGATACTTTAATACTAATGACTTAATAATTTAATATGTAATTATGATTAATAAGAATCGGACATGTTCACAGGAGGTATCTTTAGAGATGAAAGTTGTGAGAAAACGACAAAAGTACGTACGTAGAAGTTAAAAGTGTTTGATGTTTTTAGGCCTAGTTCAAACGTCAAACTTTAGATGAATCGAACGCATTTAAAACAAAAGATAATGAGGAAACTCATCTCATTTTCTTTTGTCCTTAACGCGTTCGGTGCATGTAAAGTTCGACGTTTGAAACAAGCCTTATATTGAAATTAAAAGATATCACAAAAACACTTCAATCTTGAAGGAAAAGTAACATTTATATTTTTTGATAAGCCTCCTGAACACCATGTGCTTCTTTTTATTGTGTTTATAGCTAATTAAAATTGTATTGTTAGTCCTGATTTCAGGACTTTCGCACCAGTTTGAGGTAAAAGCAAAAAGTATGACTGATCAAGTTTGCCAGTTTAGCTTAAAGTTTTGAACCAAATTTGGCTTCTTTTTCTCACATTAGGCTTATTTAAAATCAAAAGTCCTTTTGGTTTATATTTCAAATTTGGCTTATTTAAGTTTTTTTGTCTTCATTTAAGGATCACAATCAAAATGTTTCCTGATTTTACTGAAAATACTCAAAATAGCTATGATGCCAAAAACAGTACGTAACGGTTTACAAAACAACGCAAATGCAAAAGTTGACATAAATAGTGTATTGTCATAAGCATATAAGCACCATGTATGTTGATTCTTGACAGACTTCCCAGTCTCAAAGTGACAACGTCTTTGAATTTGATGACATGGTGCCAACATGGATTTTAATATCGTGCAGCGCACTCGTGTATAAAATAAAGATCAGTAAAGATTAAGCTTGAAAACTTTTTCAATTCATGTGGTGGTAATGAGTTTTTGGCATATCGTTTTAAAAAGTGATGTGCAATTGTGTTCATTTTAGCTAAAACGATGAGCAAATTGCACATTGAACACCGTTAATTCGCACACTGGTTGTAGGGATGTCTTATGAATATTGTCAACATGAACATAAAAGTCGAAGGAAAATTTCTACAAGTTTGAGCACTCTGGTGACTCTAGTGTAAAACAGCAACAATGTGTAACCATCTGTTCTACTCCCCAGTCCTGAGCCACCATTGCACAGCAGGGTACATTGTGATACAAATTGTGTATATAAAGCATACAGGGTGTGTTAAAAAACTTTAATTCTTAGATATCATCTGACCTTATGAATTTTCCGTTGATCCACAAGGAGGCGTAAACACAATCAAAAGGGCTAACGCACATTTTCATATAGGGCAGTCAAATTGTGGAACAATTTAGGCAAAGATGTGTAAGATTCCAAGTCTCTTGAAACTTTTAAGAAAGCTTTAAAAGATCTTTGGTAGTTCCATCTTGAAATGTTACTATTATTAAAAATCCTTTTAATAATAATCTTTTTTTTATACATTTATAAGACAAATATGTATATGTATTTAATTTTGTAAATTGTTACTGAAAAGCCCTATAGGGAGTACCTATTGTTTGTCATTAAAGTCATTAAAGGAATTATATTCTTGGATTTACTATGTGCACTAGCTGCCTTCTTTGTGTACAATTACTGCTGAACCATGCATTTATAGTCTAAACTTGAGTTGATTTCAAATGGTTTCAATGTTTAAATTTTTTAATGCCCTCAGTGCAGTGTTTAATGATGAATCTTGAAGAGTGTTTAGTGTAAGTGGTGTGCAAGTATATGGTGTATTGTGTACAAAATGTTAAGTGTACAGAGTGTATAAAGTACAGGGTGTATCAAAAATCTTTAGAAACTGACGTATTGTGATAATTTCAATTGCTACGACTAGGCTCGGCACATTACTGCATAAAGTATTGTTAGCTACGTGCATATACTTGCGCAAAAGCTTTTCTGATCCTGGGAATTTGACACAAGTTCTAACAACAAAACATGCGCTGAAGTGTACCACAGAGATTACCATCGTCATCAGGTCTTGAAATTTCACTATAGGTTAGTTTCTAAATGTCGTCTTTGATACACCCTGTAGCTAGCCCGTTCATATAATGATATAAACGTGCCTGCTATAGTGTATATTTCCTCCTCTAGAGTTCGGTCGGCCTTCGCCGACGTGCAGTTGTACTACTTAGCGACATACGTACAATTGTATCATCGTTAGTATGTTAAACCTTCAAAATGCGTTGGGCATGACGATTTATTTATGTAACAATGGTTTGAAAATAACGAATCAGCTTAAATAGTTACATTTCGTTTATTATCATGTGGCAGTAACTTCAAATTTATCTCTGTAAAATACAAAGTATTTTCAATTAGTACTATCCATCTTGATGTTATTCTGACTAAATAAACCCGATCTACATATAAGTTATAACTTACCTTTTTCCTTATATAAACCTTCTCTTTAGTGGCGCATGAAATCGAACTGAGGCCCCGTCCACACGTATACGGATATTTTTGAAAACGGAGGTTTTTTTCTCCGTTTCTGAAAAGATTTGCGTCCACACGTAGCGTATTTGAATCGTTTTCGCCTGTCCACACGTATACGCAAAAACGGAGGAAATTTAATACTTCTAAGCACAGAGCATGCGCATTTACTTGTAACAAGAGATTCATCAAGCTTTTGCAGCATCCAAATTTTGGCGCTATTTAGCAACATCTCTTTACCACCTTTACATTTGGCATCGTGGGGCACTCTGTTTGTTTGATTTCGTGAGTTTGAATAAAAATTAGAATGGCCAAGTCAAATAAAGGCTCCACCAAAGGAAAAGGCAAAGTCGAATGTTATATTTGGACTGATGATGAGGTCGAGCTTCTCCTTAAAGTTACGGAGGAGTACAAGGTTAAACAAACCGCTGAGAACATCGACTGGGAATCTTGTCAGAGCAAGTACTCTGATATACTTTATTTATTTAAATCGCAATATCCATCTGCAGAAAACGCCAAGGATATCGGAAAAGATTTTCCCACAACAAAGAAGATATTACGAAAGTAATAATAACCACCAAACTCAAGGCAATACGGTCCAAATTCAGAGCAGCCGTCGATAGTGGAAAGAAAAGTGGACATGGGAGGGTAGTTCTTTTGTACTTCGAAGTTTGTGAAGCGATATGGGAGGATCCCTGCTACATCCACAATAAATGCTGGATTTGAGTCTGCAGACATAACAGTAGACTCAATAAATTCATCTTCAACTCCTTCGAGTCCTGCATCATCAACAATCTTTGACAGCGATATATCACAAGAAACAGACAATATCGAGACCTCCAAAGAAGTGCAGGAGTCTGAAGTTAAGAAAAGAAGAAATTTGCTTGATACAACTAGGGCTACAAACAAGAAAAATTAAAAAGAAAAATCTCATCAGAAAATGAACTGATAATATTGGCACGAGAAGAGATGCAAATGAAGGAAAGAATGCTAGAAAAAATTGATGAAATGGATCAGGAGCATTCACAACACTTGGCACGACTAACTACCAGCATGGAGCAGTTGACAGGGTCTATTGCTGATGGATTTGCAATGCTGAAGTCAATGATGCAGCCTACTTCATTTCCATTACAACATGTCCCTCAACATAATCCTTTACCTTTTACACGTACACATTCAAATAGTTATGCACAATGCACACAAGTCGCAGTTAGTGGTCATGATAAATACAACTTGACCACTTTACAGCCAAGATACCCTGAACAATCAGGTGTGTTCCCCAATTATTCATAAAAGAACAAAAATATATTTGCACAGTTTATTTTTATTAAGACAGCATTAATAGCACAATTTGAAACAATTTATATCATTAAATCAACTCCATAATTTAGTAGATTAATATTATGTTCAAATAATACTTTTCCAACATAATTAAATAAAAAATCAATATATCAATGTTGTGTCACGGTCAATCTTGGAAAAGCTATCATGTTCAATCTATTATAAGTATATTTACAAGAAGTATTGGTGCAAATTGTTCTATATTTTTCAAACACATCAGATTCTCAAGGATCAAAGTACTTGGTCAAAATCCTTCTTGTTTTCTTACCCTCACTTTCATTCCAATCAGTGGTGAAATTGTTAGTAACAACAGCTGGTTGAAACTCTCTATCGTAATCAATGGCAGAGGAAACCTTTTCTTCTCCAAACTTTTCATTGTTTATCTCACAGTAATTATGAAGCACAAAACGTGCATAAATGACACATGGTAGCTCATCCATATTTATATCCATTGCTCTCTTTAAAGCTCCAAATCTAGCTTTAAGGCGGCCAAATGAGCATTCAATTACCATGCGAGCCTTGCACAAGGTCAAACCGAAGTATTGTTCTTGCACAGTTGACCCACCATTTGAATACTCCTTCATAACATACGGCATAAGTGGATATGCAGGATCTCCCAAAATGAATACTGGCACAGGATCCTCATCAGGAAGGATTGTACGTTTGCACGGTGGAATTTTTCCACTCTTTAAGGAAGAATTTAGACTAGAGTTTGAAAATACTCTAGCATCACACACCCGGGCCATTTGACAACAACATCCATGAAACAATAATTATAATCACAAGCAGCTTGAACATTAAGGCTATAACGACCCTTACGATTGATGTAATCTGTTGAGTTTGCATTAGGCTGCCTAATTTCTATGTGGGTTCCATCAATTGCTCCCAAACATTGAGGGAAACCGTGCGCTCTATGGAACTTTTTTACCAGACAATTTACTTCTTCCTCAGTCCTTGGAAGTTTAATATATTTTGGACCAAGATAAATTGTTATGGCTTTACACACTTTCCGGACGATTTTTGACACAGATTGCCGTGAAAGCCCAAAAGCGTTAGCTGTTTTCCGCATACAACCCTCGTCGCTCAAATAATATAATGTGACGGCTACTTGCTTCACAACGTCGACTGATTTCCTCATTATAGTGTTTTTTCCTTCGATGTATGGTCTTAATTCTTCCGCCAAAGAGTTGATCGATTCTCTGCTCATCCTAAAGTTCTCCCTCCATTCCTCTGTTACGACTATTTCACTGGCAAAGTTGTCCCACCAAGCACTTGTTCGTCCCGGCCTTGTCCAAAATCTTCGTGGTCTAACTTTTTTTTTTTTCTTTACTCGTTTTAAAACTTTTGTGGCATCTTGTGACACCGAAAGCAACTTCATGATATTCATCCGCTTTCTTAAATATTGCCCATGAAAGTTTATCATTGCAACGTGCAAGTTAATGCATGCTATCAAATTTGAAATTATTCCAAATAAAATAGCAATGCACTTGTGATCCGCCATTTTAAAAAGTACTCGTTTGACTAAATTCATGAGACTGGGCTCCATTATTGACGTCATCGTTTTCAAAAACCTCCGTTTTCGCCCGTCCACACGTAAACACAAAACCGGCGTTTTCAAAAGTCTTCACTCTGGAGAGCGTATTCGAAAACCTCCGTTTATGGTCACCGAAAACGCCGTTTACGTGTGGACGCAAGGCCAAAACGGAGGAAAAAACCTCCGTTTTCAAAAATATCCGTATACGTGTGGACGGGGCCTGATATTCGTGCAGCGGAATGAATTTAAATTTAAACCTCAAATTTTTCACGCAAGTGCGGGAACCAATGGCGCGAATGATTGGTTGAAATAAAAAAAATATTGATTGCGCTATTTACGTTTAACCTTCTCCCGAGTCCCCCCGACAGACATATTCCGCGCGTACAATCATTGTATAATCGGAATTTGCCCGTTTGTTTATGGGAAGGCGCACTCGGACATCTAGCAAAAGTAGGCGCATTCGGAAACTTCTTACGAAGATGATTTCCGACACCCGAGGCTTATTTTTCGTATTGCGTGGATTCTGCGTGATAATTTTGCGTGTAAAGCCTTAATTCGCGGCAATTTAAAACTTATCGCGGGACAATGAAAATAATTTAAAATAGTAAACAGTCTCTGCATATTGTACATCACCACACAATACAAACGAAGTTAAATTTCTGTTTATGTTTCCGCTGGTAAACTGTTCTTATGAGAACAAGCACATATTTTTATACATATGGAAAGTATTGACATTTCAGCCGCGACTTCTTTATTTATAATTATAATCAAACTGTCTGAACGCTCTGGACTTGCGCAAAATGTAGAGGAAGCAGAAAGTCTCCTTAGAGAGTACGAGTTGGCAAGCACAACTAATTTTTGTGGAAATAATGCAAAAAAAGGATTTGGGAACACAGGTTTGTATTTTTTTCTCAAAATATAACTAATCTATATCGATCTATATGCTTCCATTTCTGTTGTCCAGATCAAATTGTTATATGAAACCTGAATGTTGTCATATTCTTTAATATAAGAAGTACTACAATAATGTCCATGCACATTTGAGTCTTACTATCCTCAGTCTGTCGTTGTGTGTCGAATGAGCAAGGAATAGGGAAACTACACTCATCGCAAAAAAGGTGAAAACCAACTCATAGGTAGTACTTTAGTCTAAAAAAGAGCAAGAGGCAAAGCACAGTTTTTTGTTAAAAAGGGTTTCGTTAAATATATACAGAATACAACCACGTAAATCACACGATAATGTTGAATATAATGGTTAAATTTGAACTAAATGAAATCACTTATTCTATTTTTAATCGAAAAAATGTTAGATCTCACAAGTGCCAATCACAAGGTTTGGTGGGAATATGGCCAGCTTCCATTTGACCATATACCGTTCGTTCAAGTGAACCATAGGGTCTACGATTGTCGTCATGGGGTAGGTAGGCATTCAAGCCAAAAGAAGAAAACAGAACGGTAATAGATATTATTCATCTGCTAATGCAATACTACAGATTTAATAAAAGTAAAATGAAAGTGAAACGACGTTGCTAACCTTATAGTACGTTGCAATTAAACTTCCAGTGTGAAGAGCTTTGAAGGAAACTTTGAGTTTTATTGTATTTTAACATTGTCATGTAATCTTGGTTTCTTTCTTCTTCATGAATTTCTTCAGCTACCTTTCCTTTTAGGTGTAATTATTTACCTACATGTTTATATATTTTAGTCAAATTCTAGCGACCACTCGTTTAAGAAGCACAGAAACATGGTTCAAGGAACAAGAAAATTGAACTGTTCAGCACAAGTTCACATGAGAGAATACATCAGATTTCCAGACTTTAGGGTAATTTTAAATAACAGTGTTTATTCGTATGCATTACTCGATCTGTCAGGTGTAAACAACAAAAATGTCTGGAGGTGTCCAAATCAATTTGCCTTGAAACTTTACTCACACAGGTTTTTTGATAAATTTACGCGCCTTTAGATTAAAGAGCAAACGGTTTGGCGACAAAAATCGATGTCGAAAAAACTTAGGGAATGCTTACAAAAAGGTGGAAATGCCAATGGAGAAAGGTGGATCCATATCCAGTTGCCTTGCCTATCTGAGCACAAAACTCACCCTATAGGAAGCGTAAGGATATATTTAGTCCTAGTTTTTGTACGGTGCAAGTCAATGTCTTGCTATATTGTTTTTAAACCTTACGTTTTACATTTGGCTCCTTTATTTGTAGGCTGGAGGTCTTCATCAAGGAATTGATAAGATGCTTGTTTCCAAGATCCAAGAATTGGTTGTTGCTGGGGCTTGCTCAGTTAAAGAAGTTAGGAGGCATCTTAAAATCTACGTGGAGCAAGACCGGCACCCGCTAAAACCAATCGAAAATTTTATCCTTCCAAACAAACCATACGCAGCCACATTTACAAGGCAGTCATCAAAGAAAGATTTTCAAAATTTGAGCAAGAAAATCATCAAAAGAAAATCGAAGACTGGAAACTGAGGTGTCCCGACGAGTCTTTCTTCTTTCGCCCGCTTGCTAAATATTCAGCAGAGTCTTTGATTACTCAAGAAAATAGTGTTGATAACGAAGAAGACGACGATGACGACGATGATGATGACAACACAGTTTTGCCAGAGTCAAAAAATGGATTGTTATTCATTCACCAGACTGTTAATCAGAAACGTCTTCTAAAGAGATATGGTAACGAACTTACCCTTCTAGATGCCACTTACAAAACGACAAAATACAGCCTCGCTTTGTTTTTTCTTGTGGTAAAAACCAATGTAAGCTATCAAGTCGTTGGTTCTTTTGTCCTGCAAAGTGAAACATCGTACGCTATTGCGGAGGCTCTTCAAGTTATAAGAGGTTGGAACAACGAGTGGAATCCAGCGTATTTTATGGTAGATTACTCTGAAGAGGAAATGTCGGCGATAAACCGAGTATTCCCAGGTTAGTCAAGAAACCTAGAACTAAACTACTTTCAAAGGCACACACAATGCTACACACCTCTTTTGTTTTTCATTGAGGCAGAAATATGCAAATTTCTTTTTTTGTGGGGTGGACTAAAAGGTACAATCTAGTCAATACACTTCGTGTTAATTGTACGTATATATTACAGAATGTCAGACGTACATCTGCGATTTCCATCGAGAGCAAGCGTGGGAGCGATGGCTTTCAAAAAGCAGCAACGGACTGTTCCCGTTAAAAAATATGATTCTTGCAAAACTTCGATTAATTGCCAGAGCGAGGACGGAGGCTGATAACGAGGAAAATGTTAAAAATTTTAAGTCATCAAAAGAATGGAAGACAAACCCAAAACTGCGCAACTGGATTGGCAATACATGGTTATCCCAATACAAGGCAAGAGAATTTTATAATTTGCTAATAATATCATTCTTACAGTGCTCATCAATAATTACAATACATGTTGATTTCGTTAATTTTCTCCCGCGGACAAAATTTATAGAAATGGGTGTGGACCTTTCAAAAAGATCGACTGCTAACAGTCATAAACACAAATAATGGCGTGGAAAGGCAAAACAAAGCTTTCAAGCATGAATATTTGGATGGTTACAAGAATTCAACGTTGAGCGTCATGCTGACAGTGCTAATTGAAGACTTTTTGCCCGACCTTTACTTCAAGTAGTTATTTTTTTCTTTTTATTTACTTGAACAAGTCTCTTAAGGCTGAAACACACTGGGCAGTCGCTTCAGTCGCGCGTCCAAAGCGAATTGATGCGCACGCGTCAGTCGCTTGAACGCTAGAAACACACATACAGCGACCATCGCGACATTTACCGTGGCGTCTATTGAACATGGCGGTGATTTTAGTTTGTTACAGACACAGATATCACTTAAACTTTTTATTTTGGCCTTTATTATAGCTACTAATATATGAATATTTACTCAGTACAAACTACTATGTGGAGAAAAGAGAACAAGCCAGTTAAAACACGCCAATATGATCATAGCACATTACGTGTATATCGTGGATAATCCTATTCTGTGCATTTAGGTTGTGCATTAGGGTTCCAGTTTGTAGCTCCTATTGTCTCTATTTGATAAGTCATATAAAAACTGAAAGATTTCAGTGTGAATTCACTATATATTGCCTTTGTTTTCCTAGGTATAATCTATAAATTTCGTATGATGCTTATGACAGGAAATATGATATGCATTTAGGAAGTTAAAATGTATCTATTGGCCAATCAGTGTAAAGCGACTGAAGCGACCAAAGTCAAAAGTTCAACATGTTGAACTTTCAAAGCGACTAGCTGACGCGACTACGCTACTAGCTTAGTAACCACGCAAAGCGGTAGTTTTAGACGCGCGACTAAAGCGACTGCCTAGTGTGTTTCAGCCTTTAGGCGATGGCGAAGCCAGCCCGATCTTTTCCTCCAACAAATCAGATTTCTCAGCAAAATTATTGTTCATTTCTTTAGAAATTCGATGTCATTCATTGTCTTTCCATTGATTAAACACAAAAATATATGATTTGTAAAGGTACAAAAAACGGGCTGGGGAATTCGCTGCTGCTGTTAGCGCTAGTATTTTAGCAGCAACAACGTTGGAAATTCTTGTCTAATTTTACAGATACGTCGAATTAAATACGAAATTGCAGAGCAATTACAGGCAGTACAATTATGATGTCCCGTCATACCACACTCTATGATTAGGCATTGTATGGAAAGACTTGCATCGTCAGAAGATACCCTTGCATCACACATCATGGTTGTTGACGAAGTGCATGGAATTTTCAAAGTTCGTAGTCAAGACGACATATGCAAGTTTATACATTGTCGTTTGGAAGTCATCCAGGTGATCTTCCAAGCTGTGATTGTTATGACTGGGAAAGACACAGGTGCCATGTAAGTACTTCTTTGCGATTTTCAAGAACTTTCCACTTTGGTCATTTGATAAACTACAGAAGTCGTACACGGAATCTCCATTTTTAACAGTTGATCGAATAGGTTGCACGTCTGTAATGGAAACAAAGACATTTGAGGTAAGCCAATGTCATTCCGATGATTCTTCACAAACCGTCGAAGCACCAGAGGAAAACGAAATCCGCGTAACTAAGGACAAGAACATTTTCCCCATCATTGTAGCTGAGCTAAAACGAAAGCCATCTTCACCTAGAACAGAAGCCGCAAGGTGCAGAGAACGGTTGGGACAAATAAAGAATTTAACTTATGTTGCTGAGGGATGGGGAAATGGCAATGTTTTGCATGAAGTAAAGGTAAAATTGGATGAATGTTATAAAACACTGACTGATGTTTCTCCAAAGGAAAATGGTTTAGTGTTGAAAGTGCCAGATACAAAGAAATCTGCCCAAAAATGTAGCGTCAAAAATAGCAAGTGTTTAGTAAATCCGTTTAAACCCATCCCAAAACCGGCAAAGAAAAATCCCTGGTCAGGTCGAAGTGGTGCAAAAGCAGCAACTTTAAAAAGAAGTTATGCTTCAACATTAACAGAAATTGAAGGAAAGCAAGCAAAGATTGGACGAAATGATTCAAATATTGTGACAGATGAAATAAACTCTTCCCATTACAGACCTATTGAGCCCTTGAACAAAGAATCGGGCGATAAACTGGAAAAGATCGTTCAGACCCCAAAGCGTGGACTTTTAAACTTAGTGACATTGACATAAACATAATCATCACCAGAAAAGAGTTAACAGATCACATCATTGGTGCTGCACATAATGTTTTGCAGAAACAATTTCCTGTCGTACTTGGTTTAAAAAACACAACACTTGGCCCTGCCACCAATTTTTCTGTACATGGGGGTACTTTTTTCCAGATTCTCCACACAGGTTCTCATCACTGGGTATTGGTTTCAAATATTGACTGTCAGCCTGCTTCAGTCAATTTACATGACAGTTTGTACAATGGAAGAGTCAGTTCTTTAACAAAAAAACAAATTGCCAACCTACTCCATGAGCAATCACCATCAATCACAATCAACATAACACATGTCCAGTATCAATCCAATTACGTTGACTGTGGGGTGTTTGCAATTGCATTTCTTGTGTCATTACTTTTTAACCAAGATCCAAAAACTTTGATGTATAATGAAGGTTCCATGCGATCACACTTGTTGAGTTGTCTGAAAAAATATGAGTTCACTCCTTTCCCTTCGACAAAGAAAAGGAAAATTGATGACAAAAGTCAAATCCAAAGAAAATTGAAATTTTCACTGATGTGCCACTGTCGAATGCTATGGAACCAGAAAGATCTTGAAAACCCAGACCTATGGTGTACTCAGTGTGACAAATGCTTGGAGTGGTTCCACAAAAAGTGTTCACCAACAATGCCAGATTCAGTTTTCCACAAGACAAATGTCACTTGGAAGTGTCCAAAATGCATATAATGAATCAAAAGAATAAAATGCTCTAGAGGAAACTCAAAGTTGTAACTATAGAAAGAATTGTTATATTTTGTATTCAATTGTAAGAGTTTCTCTGGATTTTTATTAATGATTTATTGAGCTTTCGACTTGGTGCTTCACGTTTATATATATATGTGCATGTACATTCATGTGTGCATGCACACACAGAAAGTAACCATTTTATCAATATTTCAATGTTCAAGGTGACTAATAGCAACTTTCCATTTTTCATATATATACAAATATGTACAAATAGCGACAGCAATAACTTGTAGATTTTATTTTACAAATATGTAATATATATCTAAGATGGTAATTAGTTTCCTCAGTTACTTAGTTACCTTGAACATTAAAAATGTTACATATATAATGTAAAATGACTATTACTGATTTTCCCTTTATACTACATGAATATGTTGTTAACAAATTGCCACTGGCACATGCAAAGCATAAAACACAATTGGCAAGATTCTATAAAAAATATGTCAAAAATTTAGTACATAAAGTGATATCAAACCATCATCTAACAAAAAACCAGGGAAATGGAGAATAAAATGTCTAGAATTTTCAATGTTATCTTACCTTTCTTGATAAGTTGATTTAGATTTGTTTATACTGTAGAACAAGTGATGGAGAGCTTACATATGTAATACCAGTGGGCAAAATAATTTCAAAATAAATTGTGCTTTAATTTTCTTTATGCTTTCAGGTTTCAACACATTTAAAGTTAAATAAATGTGTAATGGTATAAAATTTTCAAATTCTAAACTGCTATACATTTCCATTTTGTTGATCACAATAATGATTAAGAATCACAGGAGACCATTTGTCTTTGTTTACTTGAATGCAACTATGTCGAATAACATGTCAATATTATAAATATATATTATACTACAATATACTGCAATTACCTTTAAGTTTGGTTAGATCAAAGTCTGTTCAAAATACCACGACCATTTGTCTATCTGTTGTTTATATTTAAATTATATGCAGCGATATTTATCGCTCACATACACGCAGAATCCACGCAATACGAAAAATAAGCCTCGGGTGTCGGAAATCATCTTCGTAAGAAGTTTCCGAATGCGCCTACTTTTGCTAGATGTCCGAGTGTGCCTTCCTTGTTTATGAGTGTTTGGAAATAGATATGCGTGCAGGAAAAAATAGAATAAAAACTGTATGTAAGTGACCACTAAAGATGCAATTTCAAACAAACCGAGAACCGTAAATACATTGCGATAAATGTTTACAACACAGTATGAAATATATAGAGGTGAGTTAAATTTATTGATGATTTATTATCGTGGATTTTGAACTAAACCGTAATTTTCAATTTTTTATGAATTATGATGTATAGTGAAATGTCCAAAAGGCAGCACATTTTTTTTGTTCATTTTATTTTATATTTTAAAATGTCATTGCCGCATTGGTTCAAGCCCGGTTTCCATATAATTGTCTCGATCTTCAATCGTTTGAAAGCGTGCAAGGGCGATTAAAGCGATTTTATGGAAACATATTCAAGACTATCGAAACGAACAAGGCCATCAAAGCGATTAAAATTGTCAAGATGGAACTCTGTTCTATCTAGACGATTAAAACGACTGCTTGCAATATCGTCCCTACACGCTTTCAGACGATCGAGACGATTATATGGAAATCGGGTTTTATGTGTTAAATTAGACTACACACCAATGACCTAAGAATGTAACAGTAGCAATAGCATCAACCTCTGTTAGGTTTAATACTATGATGTTTTTCAAAGTCATACTTTAAGACTTAACATAAACTAAGATACTTTTTTACTATTTCCAAGATATTGACTTATAATTATAACTAATCTTGCATTCTGAATTACCGATTGGAACATGGCATTATTTGCGTCTTCACAAAACACTGTTACAATTTTACCTTATCATGTGCATTAAGCAAATCATATATTTCAAGTCAATACATGGAATCATAGTACACTTTTTTATCTTTTTAATAGCATAGTAGGGTTATCAAAATGTCATAAAAGTTTAAGTTTGTTTTTGAAGCTAAATTATTGCATTTTTCAATCTAGATGGCTTTCTATCAATGTTATCAATTATAGATTGCCTTGATTTTGGTGAGAGAAATTTAAGCAAAGGGGCTCCTTCCCTCAAATACCAATTTGAACCCTTTCATCATGCCTAACTTGCATCCTAATATACGTAAATGATACATTTAAATTACAGAGTTTTGTTTTACCATGCTTGGAGTATTACAGGAATTTTTACTTTGTTTTATATCTTCCTAATCTCTCTACATTTCTTCAAATAGCTTCAACCATCTTCTCCAAGAAGCTAGACCTTACCTTTGTTTGAAAATTCATCTGTGGCTATAGTTGAAACTTGTATTAAAGATGAAGCTAGTGGTGGGGTGAATCAACATGAGAATCTCCATTTGACAAATATTATTACCCAAAGTTGTCGCATCCTTGAGAAACTATAGAAGAAAGGTTTGCCTATAAACAGTGCATTTTTGGTGTCATTGATGAAGGGGTGTTTTTTATTTCACATCAACTGCATCACAACTTTGACAGTTTGGCCATCTTCTGTTTTGAAATGTGAAATTATAACCTGCCTTAATTTTACAACAATATTCTTCCAATTCGCACTTTTCCACAATTATGGAACACGTAATTTATATATTGCTGATTTTTTGCCTTAATTAAGTTATAAAATGGAACATGATATCCATAATAGCATTTTCAAAGAACAGACCATGACTAATGTCTGTCAAAGGAAAAAATATGAATGAAACAGAGCGAGTTGTAGTTAATAGAGAGGAAAGTGTTATTTTAAATATATGAACATGTCTGTTGTGGGTTTTCAACTCTTTGCTACCTACTGTAGGAATCAAAATGCACAAAAAAGTCAACCTTTTTTTTTATTAGTTTATTGTCATTATTCACATTGTATAATCCTTAATCACCATGGATTTCAAAAGAAATTAAATAACTAACATAGTAAAACATGTATATGGTATATAAATATTAGTGCCTGCTCCCCCAATCATCAATCAATAACTGCTACGCAACAAAATGTCCTCCCAAAAAACATGTTTTCAGTCATGTTTTTTTTCTTACATAATCATCTTCTTAAAATTTTTTTCAAATTGATCCTACCATTGTTGGGACACGTTTTTAAAACATAAAACAACTATTTCACTAAACCAAGCATCAACGCAAAGTAATGACAAAAATTCTATTCAATACTATTCTAAAACGATTCTATACTTACCATAAGAAAAATCTTCTCGAGATACCCCCCTTCCCCTATAATAGCGTCGAAATCATTTAACGCCTCACTGAATCCCGGTTAGCCATGCTCATATAAACAGCCCCTTAAATGACTAATTTGCCGTTGTTAGCATTTCTTTAAGTGACGTCATGACTAAAATTTTTTATTGTGAATGGCTCCTTAGGAGCATGTCATCTTCCACAAAGACTTGCGTTCAAATCAACTTCAATGCGTTTAAATAAAAAAAGTCATTAGAATTTTCAGATTTTTTTACGTTTTAATGTCGTTATGCAAAGTAACGATGCATGATGTAGGTTTAGATTAATGAGACGGTATTATATTAAATTTGGAACTGTACTTTAATTTTGTCCAAATATTTATTGAGGTTAGGTTAGGAGAGGGTTTATTAAGTTTAGGAGAGGGTTTAAGGATGTTTTGGTTGACTTCACCAACATCTTAATGCCCAAAACGATTATATTTGTGTTTTTTAATAGGCTGAATAACTTTAATTAATTAAGGATTTGCGTAATATCACAGAAAAATGGTCAAGTATCGTTTACATTTTACGTATATTAATGAAGGGAGAACATATTTCTTTTGTTTGGCAACAATATGTTTGTTTTTAAAAATTAGATTTGATAGATACCTGGTAATTTGTTCAAGTACGAACTTTGATTGTTAAACAATCATGTGGAACAAATACATATAATTACATGCTTAACACCATGCATAAAAATACTATTCACTTCAAGTGTTGCCACAAGTAAATCACCTGGCATCGTGGAAAGCAGATGTTGCTCACATGAGATGGAACAAGACTATACACATAGACGACAAGTATAAAGATTTGTGATTGTGCAAAGCAAAATAAAGGTGTTGCCTTCAAACCCTTTTGAAATGTTTACCCACGTACTTGCTTCGGTATCATGTATAAAAATAAATCCCACGGCTGGAAACTAAATGTAAGTGACTACGCTGACGATAAATGATTATTTGCTTCTTGATTTATCTCTATTTTGCTCTTTTGAAAATTTCAATGTTTTTTTATTGATGCTATTGACTTTTGGTTTATTTCTTCAATGTCACATTAGTCATTATTGAATAGATGCAATGATAAATACACTAAATTTGTCGTCTGTCTCCAACGCACTATGTGGTTAAGCGCTAGAGGTGCAGTTTTTTCAGATTGTTGTGAAGAATTGCAATGAACGAGATCCATAATTGTCTTTTTCTTGAATTTCTTACAATATTTTTAGTAGTCGAGAAAACTCAGGGCAAACAGAACGCATTTAAGCCCTCTCCTAACCTTAACCTAGCAAGATATGACTACAAGATGCAATAAATATTTGGACAAAATTAAAGTCTAGTTTCTACATTAATTATCGTCACTTGAATCACAACCTACAACATCATATCCCGTTACTTTGCATCACGACATATAAACGCAAAAAAATCTGAAAATTCTGACGAATTATTTTTATTTAAAAGCACCGAAGCCTTCGTTGAAGGATTACTTATTGTCTTATTGAATGGGTGACATGCTCCTAAGGAGACAATCACAAAAAATTTCAGTCATGAATTCAATTAAAGAAATGTTAACAACGATTTATTCACTTTAATGTTAGAAAATAAGGTAAATTCTCTCCTTTTTACTGACTAAGTAGTGAAGTATGAGTTACATGGAATAACAACTAGTCTTATTTCTTGGCTTTGTAATATGAAAGCTTTCACTTTAAAATGCTTCCACCACGATGTTAAGCATTTGATCGTTTGAAAGTTCTTGTTGCATCGTTCAATTTTCAAACTCAACTGACTAATGCTATTCATGAAATGTAGGTAAATGTTTTACCATTTGGATTATCAAACAGAAAACATATTGTAACTTGCTCATCCTCTATATATCTGATTCATATTTTCTTATATTGTGGATCCCACATGTATGGAGTTGTGAAAGTCCCTTTACCACCTGTGTCATTCACTACAGTTACTCTTACTAGTTTGTCATTACTCATGTGTCATGGTGATTCATGGCCAAGAATGTTCATTTGTAGTTTGGATTCTTTGTTGATGTCAGGTGTTTGTTCATGTAATGATGATGGGCCCCATTGTTATATGAGCCCACCTAAAGGTGGTCAAATGATATTCACAGAAGATTAACTCTGCACTAAGCATTCTTTGAGTGATGATATAACTGGGGTATTGAAATGGTCCCTTTTCCTTTGCTTGAAGTTATCAATTGTAAATTATGGAAATAGCGATTCATGATCTCAGTAGCTACTTTATTTGTTAATGATGCTGGTAACTTCGTGTATGGAATGGTACAAACGTTTTGAATGGACATTGTATAACGGAATATGTACGTATGACCATTAACATTGGAGTGATTGGACTAAAAACGTACTGTATTCTACGAAAATGGAAAACAAGCGAGAGGAAAAACACAATCCATGTCTTGAGGTTTGTAGCTTGAGTGGATGAGTGTTAAAATTAACTTCTATAAGTAGTAACTGCATGAGATAGTCGAAAAGGATACTGATTCTTTTATGTAGAGGGTTTTTTACCAGATCCACCGGTTTTCCCTCACATTTCGTTTTGTTTTGGAAAAAAACAGTGTCCTCATTTGGGGCCAAGCGAATATTTTTATCAGAACACTATTTATTGTAGCTATCATGAACATTCACGTTTCTTTTCTTCATTTCATGGCCTTTGGGTATACCTCCCAAAACACTGCGTTTACTAAGTACATGACATACATTTTAAGAAAATAGGTACGCAATGCGTACATGTTAGCCTGCAAGTATATAGCTACTGAATGAAGTAGATTTAATCAACATAGATAAAACAAAATTATATATTTAATATTATTCCTGTCAAACTTTTTCAAGATTTGAAAATGCTTTTAGTTATATGACCAGGTAATTTCCTAACCCTGGAATCCGTTACTATACTACCAAGTATTTGCAGCTGCTGGAATCCGATACTACAATCGTTGAAGATCGAAGGTGAATAATTTTAGAATATCTCAAATCTTTTCTTGTTTTACGAAAAAATAGCCTACACCGAAGAAAGCCATTAAAATGCTTGATGCATTTCCACAAAAATGACAACAAACACCGGTTACACCACTTAACCTAATTCATTAAATCTCTTGGAAGCAACGTCATTGCATTTCTTTAGATCGCTATTGGAGCCAGTGTCCTTCTGCCAGAAATAAAGTGGAAGATCACATTCACTGACTTAAATGGTTCAGCCCGTCGGCCTGTTGTGCATACTTTTGGTCCTTAACTTGAAGTTCCAAGCACCTATCAGTGCTAAATGAAGTAGCGGAAGATTCTTTATCCATTCTTCGCGAGAAAAGTTCATGGACGTTCGATATTGTCTAGTGAGGACGTTAAAGTCATATCTACACATCTAAGTTCCCGTTTGCACTATACCGGATTGCTATCGTAGCAGGTTGAATATTCTTTATATTAAAAGGCAGGGAAATTGTTCAATGTCAGAAACACAATCAAATGGACTAAATCTATCAGCTTAATAGGCTTTTACTCCGAGCAGTTACCCCTTAAAAGCAAATGAAGATGTCGTGATCAGCGAATACGGTATAGTGTAAACGCAGCCTAAATATTATATGACATTCCGATATTGTATTTGCTGTTTGTGGTGAAAACCATAATATACTGTTGAAACAATTATTTCACCAACTGATTGATTTATTATTTGTATTTTGTAGAAACTATAAATATCTGCTTTAGTTAGCTTTCAGTCTGGGTTTTTTTGCAACAACCATGTAGGATTTTGTCATCACTTCCTTAACAGTATTGTAACGTATAAAAGTGCTTGTAGTTTTGTTTTAATAATTTCTACTAATGTAATATTGTATTGCTTCTTCGATCTTGTGAATGTAAGCTCGGAGTATTAAGTACCTAGCAATTAACATGTAAACAATTTGTGTTTGTGTATTTTTGTTTGTGTTCGTGTACTTTTGTTTGTGTTCGTGTACTTCTGTTTGTGCTCATGTATTGTGCTTATGGTCATCCTTATCGCGGTAGCTTGATTGCAATTTTTCTTAACCGCACGACTAACATCTGTATCAAACGCATGTAGAAGCGATATCTATAGTGTAAAGCTTCAAAATATAAGAGAAAAAGTCTAAGATTTTGGAATATTATTTTACGTGAATGTCTTGCTATAGGAAGCTAATGAAATTTGCATAATTTTACTTGATTAACTTGTGAACATGTCCTATTTCTTATTGCGAGATCATCTTTATATCTATCATAAATGAAATTTCGCTCTATAAATTGTCTAAGAATTTTCGATGAATTAATACGTCATTTTCAATGAATAAGAACGTTTCAATATAGTGAGTCTCAAGTTGTGATTCTTTTTTCATGCAGAGAACTACCTATGATATATAGTGAAGGTCCTTTATCACTGGTGATGCAAAACGTAAAATGATTTGACAAAAACGTGGAATCAAGCGATCACAAAACCATATAATTTGATCATGAAAACGCAGGAAATAGCGTTTTCGACCCCTTATTTTCAATTTTTCAATTTTTCCAGGGAGATCGTGTCCGGCGTGAGATTGTGTCTCAAGCCTGCATCTGCCCCAACGAAGCCCATAAAACAATGGAAGTCTATAGTTTTTTCGTGTCTTGCTGGGTGAATATTTTATTGACAAAAGGAACAGGCAATAGTTAAACTGTCATTTTTTCCAGGAGAAGTTGACATTATAATTTAATTTGTGATTTTATATGAAGTAAAAGAGCATCAAATATATGAACACATAATACTGCCTTTTATCTATTTAATATTATATTCATATTATTTTGAAACATATCGTAATTAAATACATGTACATGTGTCATCATCATTATTTTACACAATAAAAGCTCATGATTGTATTAATAATATTTTACAAAAGTGAGGTACACACTACTAAAATTTAGGTAAAATCTCAGTGGTGTCGAGGGGCAACTGCTTCCCATTTTTGTCAAATCGCCGATTTTGTCGGAGATTTGAAAACAACTGAATGTACTAATACATAGAAATAATGCAATCATGCATAAATATTATTTTTAATCTATTTTCTTTGTATGTGCTGTTAGTTGCCAGAGAGCTATAACTGCCTCCATCGATTCTAATATTCAGTGAATCGATCTTTGAAAACAGATAATAAAAATGATTTATAAATTTTGTTGATAATAAAAGAATTTTTGAGGTTTATCAAGGAATTCTCAAACCCCCCAAAAATTGTCGAAAAATTTCGACGCTTTGAGCCCCCCCTGCCGCCAAAAAATGAATTTCCAAATCCGTTGGGAAAAATCACACTTCACGTGGCGTCTTTTCATCCGCTAATCTACTATTTTCAATGTCAAAAATGTGGACGAAAACAAACCTTGTTCATCGCCACTCCAGTCTCCTGTACGGGCAATGCGAAGACGTTCAATTTCGTGGCGAAGACTTTCGTGGTGACTTGAAATGCAAATATCGTTGGAAGATGGAGTGATTGGTGACTCCGAATAGATCTTAGTAAACTCATCGCCAGTGATGTTGGGCAAGTCATTATCATCTGGGTTCACATATGATGAGTGGGACTGAGGTTTAGTGGACTCAAAAAGAGACAACTCGTCTTCCTCAAGATTACTATTGACAATTACCATTGCTCTCTACATTGAAAAAGTTTGAGTGGTTAAGTTAAAAATATAGAAAATGTCAATAAAAATAAAAACTGTTAAATTGCCAATAACTATTAAACCTGCATTATTGTTTGTTAACAATTCTGTTTGTTTAGTTTTCTTAAAAAAATTTAGAAAAATGATTTGCTGAGCATTAAGTTATTTTTTCGTGGATATATATTCTGGGTTTTTTTACGTGCATTGATACCATACTTTGCTATCGCTATCAGGAAAAATGTTCCTGTACTTGAATCATAAATTAGACATGTTTCGACATCTTATGATGCCATCTTCAGTACGAGTGAAATAATAAGTGATACAAGGTTTACATAAAAGTAATATTGTACATAAATTACAACAATAAAAAGGAAATAAGATAAATTAATGGGGAGCGTCCAAGCGTACTATAAACTAAATATTGGCACACACTTATAAGCACACACTTGTAGGCACACACTTTAGGCACACACATTACACACACACACACACAGGCACACACTTATAGGCACACACACTTATAGGCACACACTTATAGGCACACACTTCACACACACATTATACACACATATCACACATTTTATAGGCACACACTTTTACACACTTATAGGCACACATTATAGGCACACATTTATAGGCACACACTTATAGGCACACACCCATACATTTATAGGCACAGGCACATATAGGCACACACTTTATAGGCACACACTTATAGGCACACACTTATAGGCACACACTTATTCACACACTTTTATAGCACACACTTATCACACTTTCATAGGCACACACATTTATAGCACACACATTTATAGGCACACACTTATGGCACACTTTATAGGCACACTTATACACACACTTATAGTCACACTTTATAGGCACACTTTATAGGCACACATTTATAGGCACACACTTATAACACACTTTATAGGCACACACTTTTATACACACTTATAGGCACACACTTATACACACACACACACTTTTATAGGCACACACTTATAGGCACACACTTATAGGCACACACTTTTATAGGCACACACAGTTATAGGCACACACTTATAGGCACACACTTATAGGCACACACTTATAGGCACACACTTATAGGCACACACACCTATAGGCACACACTTTTATAGGCACACACTTTTATAGGCACAAACTTATTGACACACACTTATTGGCACACACTTATAGTCACACATTTATAGGCACACATTTATAGGCACACATTTATAGGCACACACTTATAGGCACACATTTATAGGCACACACTTATAGGCACACACTTATAGGCACACACTTATAGGCACACACTTTTATAGGCACACTTTTATAGGCACACACTTATAGGCACACACTTATAGGCACACACTTATTGGCACACACCACAGATCTAATAATACACTAGATACTGCCATACAAGTTGAAGCCGGGCAAATTTACTTCCGGAGCCCCAAAGTAGTGAGAATCAATATGACGTTGTATTAGAAAATATGTGGTCCAAGTTAATATCTCGCAATTATTAGCAAATCGCGAAGGTTGCATCAACTTTTTTGCACTATTTATTAAGTAAATCATTGTGACTAAAGTTTGTAAGAAAAAAATTGCAGAATACGCCAATACATCGCCGTAAAATTGATTTCAAGTGTAGCTCGATTTGAAAGCATCAACAGCGACGAAGGCTTAAGTACCGGAATTTGCACATTTAAATATCGTATCACAGCACAATCTGCGATAGTGTGGCTTAGTTCGAGTTACAGGTTAGATATATTATGGGGAAAAAGAACTTGATATTTTTTGTATCCAATAATTTCTAGTTAAATAAGGAGGGGCGCCCTATCTGTTGTGACCAAATAAGTTTTATGTTGTCAATAAGTTATTGGAATTGTCAAGGTTAGCCGAGAAGTTCATTAAATTTTCAACAATTAACAAATTCAATAACCATTGGGAATAATTAAGCATTGTAACTGTACATTAACTTTATTCGTAAGTATGCTTAACATATTGGTCAATGAGCAATGTGTAAATTGGTTATATTCAACGGAATTTTTTATCCCTCTTTTTGTTTCTAAGCACAGTAGATCTGGGATTCATCGTATATATTAATCACATTCTGCTTCTCCTAGCCTTGATAACTTTCTTATGTAATCAACACCTTGGTCCTTTGGGCTTTTAATTCTTGGAAAAAATGTTTTGAAAAAACAATTTCTAAGATGTTGCTGTTTCCGTAGAGCAAGTAATATAATGACTTTAAAAAAGTTATCTATAAAATGGCCATTTTCAGCCGTCTAGAGATCTGAATTTTCAAAGTTTTCTCATGATTTTGCTTCCTCAGATCATTTGCTCATCTAATCATCTAGAGCATATATTTCTTGAACTAAGAATTCCTATTGGAAAAGAAAAAATCATGTATCACAACTTCGTAAAGCATTGTAAACCTTCGTAAGTGAGGGCCTGGGGGATGTTAAAGTAAAATGACACGTGACATCATCAATGACATGCGTGGGCGAATAATGTGTGGTCACAGAATAAGGATTGTAACGTATCTATTCTGTGTTGTGGAATAAATATATCAATATAGCGTCGGCCTTTGGGCTTTATTTTTTTCGCCTCGCTTCGGCTTTGCCAATGGGCCAGTAGCTTTAGAATTTGTACTAGAAATTAGTTTTTTCTAATACGAAGAACTTGCTGTTCTATTATTTTCTTCTCACATTCTAAGTAGCCTTATGTCATTGTCGTGAGTTACATTAAGATCTGACGACGCATTTCACCAAAGTATTTGACTGCTTCGAAATATGGACGAACAACTAACAAGCAATCATCGAAGGCAAACCCAAGCAGATTTTCGTGTACCTTTGACTTCTTCTACAGGTTTGGATGATTCATGAACTTTCTAAAATATATTCTTTTGAATATCTTATGTAGTTAAAATATTTTAGCATTTCGATACGATGTGTTGTTTTGAAGTGTCGAACTTGCGTAATGGCGTTGAATTATACGAGCATAGCTCATAGCCGAACCATTTCAAGTTGTTTAGTGTTTGAATCACATCTTCCGCGCTTTGGATGTATTTTATAAGCAAATTTAGTGATATTGAATTATATTGTGAAAAGAAATATAATGTATTTCCGCTTGTAAAAGAAAGCGTCTGCAAGAAATTTCGTTTGCGGTTATCAATATACTGAAAATAGTGATGTTGTTCAACATATATTAATCACAATAATGGATGTTTGTTTAGAGTTTTAAGACTTGGTGTAGTTTATGGCTTTGTTTTTCGTGGAGTCTTACTGTCTTGTGTTTAAACAGTAGATCCAGGTGGTCCTATTGAAACAATTAGTAAAGGTTTGTCAAATTATTCATCCACTTTACAAACGTCTTTCAAGTAATTTTTTTTACGTACGTCGTCGTGTACAGCATGTTGTTCTATGTGTTTCGGCTTTGGAAGCCAACATCAATATTTTTGAATTTTGATTTGAATGTATAATTTTAAGTCGTTCGAAAGTAATTTGCTAAATTGGTGAGTGAACTATTGCCGTAAGTTTGAAGCCTAAAATTAAAACTGTAGACGAGACTTGGGCCTGTTTCTTACGTCGACTTTTACATGAGCCGAATACATTTAAATGATAATGAGGAATTCTATTTCGTCATTGGACTACGTCACTAAGGAGTCATGTGAGATATGCGCACGCAGATCGAGGAATCAGTTGCCCGCGTAGTCTTCGAGCGAACGGTTGTTTTTATCGAATAAAATCTCAACAAAGGAGCGAAAATCATGGCATCAGATGACGAATTGGAAAGACGGCTATTGGAAGAAGAGCCAAGCGGTATGAAAGAAGCGACACCACCAGGGATAGCAATGCCAGAAGTGTTGGCTAGTCTCGTCGACAAAGTAGAGAAAATGTCAAGCAAAATTATCAACCTGGACAGTTCCATTAAACGGTTGCAGTCCGACAGTCAGGATCCTTGCTTGAACGAAGGACCAAGCAAAAAACGAGGTGTAACTTCACTAATGGAAATAGACAAAGGTTACACTGACGGTGATGCAGAAGGATTGCATCGAGAAAGTGAACCTGATGCCGACTCGGCAAATGAAGGTAGTATAAGCGCCACATGTGTTCGACGCGAACATGACGCTCTGCTACAAGAAATCTCGCACGACTTGGAGCAAGAAGAGGAGGTTGGCGACAATATAAACCAGCAACTTGCTGATATTGTCAACAAACGATGGTCAAACAAGCTCCCAGAAGCAAAACAAAAAGAAAAAATGGAAAAGTATTCAAGACCAAGTAATTGTGAAAAATTTATTGTCCCTCGCGTTAACGCTGAGATATGGGACAAGCTTGACAATAAGACCAAGCACAACGACCTTCGCACTGCTAACACGCAGAAAACAATAGCGAAGGTTGGCGCCGTACTGTCTTTCACGACAGACAAATTGCTACAAATACGTAGTAAAGAATCACCAGACGTTGATAAACTGATCACAATGAATACCGATGCCTTGGCACTTCTTGGCCACACATGTGTGAACTATCAATGCGTCGACGCGACGCTATTAGGCCAAATTTAAACAAGGATTATAGCAGCCTTTGTGCATCACATGTGCCAGTAACGACTTACTTGTTTGGGGATAACCTTCAAACACAACTAAATGATATTAGGGCATCGAACAAGATCAGCAAGGCAACAGTGCCTCAAAGGTTTGATAAGGTCAGGCAGTATGGCCGCCCTCACTCTCATGGTACCAACAATTCCTCCTCACAGGAAAACCAAGAAAGAACCATTTTTATCCAACAATCTGAATTGGAAGAAACACCCACCAAGGTCGACATACCCATCGAAAAAGCCATCAACCTTTCCAGTCAAGCAGCAACAATACCAGTAATGGCCAATAGTGAAAGAAACAAAATATCATGACAAACTTACAGGTCAGTACTTTAGAGAGACTTGCCTTTATTAGTCAGGTATTTACACTCACGAGTGAAACGCTTTCAAGCAGGCCAGTTAAGTCACAAACTTTGTGAATGGCGCAAACTCACCTCTGATTCAGAGGTTTTACATACAGTCTTGGGTGAGGAGATTGAATTTAACGCTTTACCTCACCAACTACATGCACCAAAACCCAATACATTCACAACATTCGAGAATGGTTGTGTTGCACAGGAAATAAAAAAGCTGTTTGCAAAGGGTGTCATAGTTGAATCGGCTCATGAGGCAAATGAATTTATTTCATCCATTTTCTTAAGACCAAAACCTGATGGGTCTCATAGAATGATATTAAATCTCAAAAGTTTAAATAAGTATGTGGTATATAGGCACTTCAAAATGGACTCCATTTGGAATGCTATTAGTCTAATGAAACCAAACTGCTACATGGCATCAGTTGATCTAAAAGATGCCTATTATTCAGTACGTATCTGTGCTGAACATCAGAAATATTTAAAATTCGATTGGAATGGTAAATTATATAAATTTACTTGCTTCCCTAATGGGTTAGCATTAGCACCAAGAAAATTCACAAAATTGCTTAAGCCTGTGTACTCATCATTACGGAAAAAAGGGTCATATATCATCACCTTATATTGATGATTCCATTTTGATAGGTGATAACTTTAATGACTGTGCAGCAAACATTGTTGAGACAGTTAAAGTTTTAGACAACTTAAATTTTGTCACTCACCCTGAAAAATCTGTGTTAATACCAACACAAAAAAATTGTATTTCTTGGTTTTATTCTAAATTCAATAACTATGACTGTTTCTTTGACACCAGAAAAGCAAAGAAGGTAAAATTGGCTGTTACCCACCTACACTCTTGTAGGATACCTCAAATAAGAGAGGTTGCCCAGGTTATTGGGTTTATTATCTCTACATTTGCAGGGGCAATGTATGGGCCCTTATATTTTCGGATTACAGAGGGTGAGAAAGCGGAAGCCCTAAAACAATGTAAGGGAAATTATGATACTCACATGCAGTTATCCTCTAGCGCAAAAAAGGAGCTGGAATGGTGGATAAACAATGTAGAAAGATCAAACAATCTGATCTCTAGACCAGAGCCGCATGTAACTATGTCCACAGATGCATCTAAAGTGGGCTGGGGGTGTGCTATAAATAACATTAAAACTGGAGGGCTCTGGACTCAGGAAGAGAGTCAATCTCATATTAACTATTTAGAAATGCTGGCAGTGTATTTTGGTCTCAAGTCACACCAAAAATCTATTACGAAAATGCATGTAAAAGTACTAGTTGATAACACTACGGTTCAAAATACCCTAAACAAAATGGGAACAAGTCACTCTCCATTATTGAACAGTCTTATCAAAACTATATGGGACTGGTGCATTGTTAATGAGGTTTGGATCACAGTTGCCCGTATTCCTGGCAAGGAGAATGTCGATGCAGACAGGGAATCTCGGAAGGCCAGGCGCACCACTGAGTGGTGCCTGAATAAACACATATTTCATAGGGCTTGTACGAAACTAAATGTAAAGCCAAACATTGACCTTTTTGCCTCCAGAATTAATTGCCAATTAAAGCCATACATTTCATATACCCCAGACCCGGAAGCAATTGCAGTCAATGCTTTCCATCATTCATGGCTGGGTTATCAATTTTACGCTTTTCCACCTTTTTGTTTGATTAGTCAGGTGCTACAAAAGATTCAAAAAAGAGAAGTCGGAGGGACTGCTTATTATACCAAAGTGGCCAACCCAATCCTGGTGGCCAGTAGCAATGAGAATGCTGATGCAGTCACCAATCTTGCTACCACAAACACCATCAACACTAATTCTTCCCAGCAACCCATTGGAGAAACATCCTCTTCACGAGAAACTAGTGCTAGTAGTGTGTCACTTATCAGGAAACAGTTCAAAGACCGAGGACTTTCGACAACAGCTGTGGAAGTCCTGGAATCAGCATGGAGAGCAGGCACACGAAAGCAATATGAAGGGCATTTGGAAAGATGGAGACAATATTGTTATCAACGGCATATCAATCCCTTTTCTCCCACTGTAGAAGAAGGGATAAACTTCCTTGCGGAGTTGTTCAAAAAAGGGCTTGGGTACAGTGCACTAAATACTGCAAGGAGTGCGCTATCATCGATAGTAAGTTATCAGATAGTACTAGTTTTGGAACACACCCACTGGTTTGCAGATTCCTTAAAGGAGTCTTCGAAAATCGTCCAGCCTTACCAAGGTACACCAGAATCTGGGATGTACGAATAGTGCTAGAATACTTAAAAACCATGCAGCCAAATGAAACTTTGACACTGAAAAAGCTACCACTTAAACTGACCATGATGTTAGCCCTTATCTCTGCTCAAAGGTGCCAAACCCTTAAAGCCTTATCACTGGACAATATATCTCGGGAGGATGATAAGTATGTATTCACCTTCGACCAATTGTTAAAAACATCTCGGCCTGGGAAACACCTAAAGCCTTTCACAGTTAAGAAATATGACCCAGATGCAACACTTTGTCCGTTCAAACTCCTTACTGAGTACATTGAAAGAACAAAAACTATTAGAAGTAATTCCAAACAGTTGTTAATTTGTTTCCAAAAACCCTTTAATGTAGCAAGCACGGACACTATCTCGAGATGGCTTAAAACAATCTTAAAGCTGGCCGGAATAAATGATTTTTCTGGCTACAGCACAAGAGCAGCATCCTCGTCAGCTGCAAACAAAGCATCCATATCAATTGAAGCAATTATGGAAGCAGCTGGGTGGTCTAATGCTTAAACATTTCAAAAATATTATAATAAGCCATTAAAAACAAAAGCCGACTTCGGTGTTTCATTATTAAATGGTTCCAATGACTAAGCACGAATTTTTAATAGTGAGAAGTATAGTTATATGTGTTGTTTAAAAAATTGTCAATACATTTGGGATTATGTTAAAGCTCGTGATCACAACACTTTGAATATCTCATATGACTCCTTAGTGACGTAGTCCAATGACGAAATAGAATTTAAAAATTAAACGAGACTTACCTGTAAGTTGAAGTTTGATTGTAATTCTATGAGTTATTGGACAAGGAAACTAAGGAGTCACCCATTATATTGGAGGGATGTTTAGTGTAAAAAATCTTATTGCACCCGCCCTAAATGGTGAATGCTGTTGAAATCACTCGCAGCGTTGAAAACTGATTCCTCGATCTGCGTGCGCATATCTCACATGACTCCTTAGTTTCTTTGTCCAATAACTCATAAAATTACAATCAAACTTCAACTTACAGGTAAGTCTCGTTTAATTTTTAAATTTTATCTCAATTTCTTTTGCCTCTAATGCATTCAGTGCATGTAAAATGCAACGTATGAAACAGGCCTTGGTATCTCATAATTCTCAGTTGACAGCACGCTAAAGCACGAAAATTTTTAAATCTTGTAAAAGCATGTCTTGCGGTCTTAACTCTTGAGGAAAAGTTTACTTCTTTAGACCCAAATGAAAGTACGTAACACAACATTCTTTCTCTTGACTGACCAAGTTTTATGATGAAAAAATGGTAGCCACTTCTTACGAAGTAATCAAAACTAAACGGTCTAGAAACTATGTTAGTAACGAATAAATTGTAGAATCAAAATTATTTTTATTAAGAGTACTTGAAAAGTTTCATGACTTTTTGATAAATTATGACAAAATTTCAAAAGTCTAAGTGTAAGTCAAGTGTAAGTTGCCAAATTCTTTGTAATTTTATTATTCCTGCATTAGTTTTGCAAATTCAGATTCAAATTCCGAACAACTTCGTAGTTCGTACTAAAGCAGCAGAAAGTGAAGCGTTTTCACAAATTATGTGTTTTAAGCTGTGAACAAGCGGTTTATTGGTCTGCATCTAAGATACTGCGGAGCAGGAGAGTCGTGGGGAGCATACCATCACTTCTTCTATTATCAAGCAATGATTTGAGTAAAATTCAGCGTCCTTTCAAATAGTGTACACACTTGTGCTATTGTCCCCCCCCCTTCACCACTTGAACGAGCTTTCCTCAGGAAGGAGTGCGTTGTTAGGTCAGTTTCAAACGTCGAAATTTACATCAACCGAATGCATTGAAAATAAAAGTTTTACTGTATGTAAAGTTCAGATATTTGCAACTTAGGTAGCGCGCTATCTGTCTGAAGTAAATGCAAACACTTGAGTAACAGAGTTTGAATGAATAAGAATAAATCAGTGTAGCTTGTTCCCAATACGACTTTAAACGCAGCAGGATTAAGGGATTGTTCACATGAGCCAAGTAGCCGGGATTCAGCGAAGCGTTAAAGCATTTTGGCAAATGAAAAAGATTAAATACTTCACAATAAAAACCTTATTTGAGCAATTTCTCTATGCTCTTACTTTGCAAATTTACAAAACCTTTAAAAATCAAAACAAATATTTTAGTCTGATTTGAAAATTGAAACTGGAATGACTTATGACGCTTAAGAAAAGGTTGTAAATTTTGCACTTAAACATTTTACTCCTTTCACTTCCTCAAAATCATTTCACGCCTCGCTGAATCCCGGTTACTCGGGCTCATGTGAAAAGCCCTTAACTAAAAGTTTTTTATGGCTACCTGAAAAAAGAACAAATATACAGGTATAAATTATAATCTGTAGAACCAACGTAATTAATCTTGTCGTAGCATAAAACCACAGTATATAGAACATAGATTAGAGCCACTGCATTCAATTTTTTTGTGCCACGCGTATCTCATTGCGCATGTGATTATCATAGTGGCAGCCAGTCAATTGCTTATTTTACTAATAGTTGCACTGAGCTGGCAAATGACAGCCAGTAATCTAAATATACGCAGCAAGTTGCACAGCGAAGTGGACGTACTATGTATTCCCTATACTGTGATAAAACAATGGAACATGTCGTGCATCACAGCTTAAATAATCAGTAGCGTTGTGAGATGAGTACTCATTGCTGTCTTATCTCTTGGAGT